TTTCAGCCAACAGAGTTGTAATTCCTGTGATTAAAGAGTGGCAAATAACCAAGCCTGTGTCTGCGTTACTCACAGGCCGGAGGGGGGGGTCAGAACAGGTTGTGTCCTGTCCCAAACCAGCAAAACTAAGCCACTATGGAGCAACTCTGTGCTGAGAACGCCCAATTGGCACAATAGGTGGCCTTGCTGGCTGGCAAGATAGCTCAGCTACAGGGCCCTGTTATTCCTCCCCCCCCCAGCCTTGGAGGAAATGTCCGGTTGCCGTGCCTGACAAGTTTGACGACACCCAAGCGATGTTTCCAGCTTTCTTGGGACAATACCAGCTTTTTATCAGTCTGAGAGCGGAGGACTTTCCCACTGACTGGGCTAAAGTGGGATTTATTATCAGCTTGCTCTCAGGCACCGCAGCTTGGTGGGCTACTTCTTTGTTGTCCCAGGCTAACCCTTTGCTAGACGATTTCAGGGGGTTTTGTGATCACCTCAGACTCATGTACAAGGACCCCATTAAGGAGGAAACAGCCACCAGACTGCTCAAGACGCTGCAGCAGGGCCGGGGCTCCTTGCAGGATTATGTCAGAGAATTTCGGCTCCTTAGCCAAGATTCGGCCTAGAATGAGGCAGCCCTCATGGACACTTTTCAAGATGGGCTGTCGAACGATCTGCAGGATGAGCTGGTGCGGGTCGACAGGCCACCGACATTCAACACGCTGATCCACCTGTGCCTCCGGATAGACGTCCGGTTGCAGAGGCGGGGGCCTCGCCATGCGTCCCAGGAGACCAGGGGATGCCAATCCTGCAGGAGACCCTAGCTCCACAGGAGGAGCCCATGGATTTGGGCGTTGCCAAAACCCGCTTATCACGAACAGAGATGGACAACGGCACACAGGGGGGGTTGTGCTTCTATTGCGGGGATCTTGGACACATGGCCACAGCTTGCCCCAAGAAGAGTAGGGGGTTGCGACATCTGGGGCCTACCCCTCAGCTCCAGAACAACTTGTAGAGAAACAGCCGGAGACCTTGGGTCGGGCGCACACTGAAACAGAGATGGACGACCCTCCCCGGCACATGATCTTGGCAGCACACATTTTCCTGTCTGGTAGTCCGCCGGGGATTCCAGCCCACGCCCAGGTCGGTTCTGGGGCTATCACGAACTTCATGGATGAGGCGTTTGCGACCAAGTATGCCATCCCTCTGTGTCCGGTGGACCCACCGATGCTGGTCGAGACCATTGATGGCCGGGTGCTCCTGTCTGGGCCTATCAAGGCCGCCACACAGCCCTTGCGCCTGGTCCTCGAGGATCACGAAGAGGTCATCCAGTTTTAC